TTTCTTACCCTTGGTTAGTAGGGAATGGAAGAATGGTAGTAATAGTAGTTATAATTGTACCCCATTCCTCCATTCCCTACTAACCAAAGGTAAGCCCTAAACCAACCCTAAACCCTAAACCCTAAACCGTAAACCCCAAACCTTGCTGAAGCTTTGCAAAAGGCAGAGGCAAGCTCGGGCACCGGTGCGCGGAGCTTCGTGGGCGCAGCCCTCGGAAGTGGCTCTGGCGTTTTGGGGTTTCGGATTCATGATAGGGTTTTAGGGTTCGTAATAGGGTTTAGGATTTAGGGTTCTAGGGTTTAGGGTTTAGGGTTTAGGAATTTGGAGAATGAGGGGGTTTCCGCAAAACCGGAGCTTACACCCTAAAAACACCTAGAAGAACCTACGAGCCCCAACAGCCTCGTGCGTCCGAAGTCCTTTCCGAAGCTTGGAGTCAAAGAGAGATGATGTTCGTGGCACTGAACCCTGAACACGGGGCCACTGCGCCGAAGGGTGTGGTGACTTCTATAGGGGCCGAAATAATTACGAATGCCATTCTGGGGGTTCCTCATTACAATTATGGTATAATGGACCCCAAAACCCTATTCTAATTATGAAGGCCCCTATATTACAGGCTGGGCTGTATGGTCCGGCAACATAGGGTTTGGGGTTAAGGGCCTTGGGTGTAAGGTGGTGGAGGAGTGGAGGAGGGGCCTCCAGCGTGTCGTGTGAGGTCATAGGATTCAGAAGGAGGGTAGCCGTGTTTTTCTGGGTGGCACCACTGTGCAGTGGGCGAAGTTCGACCCTGGTTCGAAACCATGAGCCTTCAACCAACAGACTTGCCCCTTACCACCTTCTCGTCCTTGAGCTCCAAAGCCCTGCATCCTAAGCCTCAAGCCTGTAAACCCCAAGTCTATCCCAAGAATTCCAAAACCCTACCAAATCCCCCTGCAGAACACCATCAACCACAAGCCAAAAACCCTGAACCCGAAACCCGACACCCCCGAACCCTAAAGACCCTTATCCTACCCCATAGATAGGTTTTTATTTATTTCTAGAAGCCCGTCGACACCAAAAGCTGTCACACCCCTCACACCCCCCCCCTCCTCCCTCCCAGCCCTAAACCCTAAACCCCCCCAGACCCTTATGGCCCAAGGCTCCATGTTCTTCGTTGCTCCAGAGGCCCCTGAGCTCCGGGATGCTGGGAGTTCAAGGTTTGGGTCAGTTCCCCCTTAATACTCGAAAGATAGGGCTTAGGGTACTTAGGGTTTAGGGTTTGGATGAGTTCCCCCTTACTACTCAAAAGATAGGGCTAAGGGTACTTAGGGCTTAGGGGTTGGATGATTTCCCCTTGCTACTCAAGAGATAGGACTTAGGGTACTTAGGGTTTAGGGTTTGGATGAGTTCCCTCTTACTAATCAAAAGATGGGCCCGGATAAGTGCTAAGAGCCCACCATAGAATAGGACTGATCATGAAAATACCTCAAATACCTCTTATGGTCTTATCTTCCCTGTAAGGTGCCTGGGCTTCTAGTTGATGTTGGGCTCAGGGGGTTTGGTATCATCTGCAAGCCCTAAGCCCTCAAGCGTTCTGGGTTCGTGGTTCTGGGCTTTGGGGCTCGGAGCACTGGGTTCTGGCTTCGTGGCCTGGTTTTCCAAGCCAGCACGATGGAGATCAGACCACGAAGCTTGGGTTTGGCTTGTATTTTAGGGGCCTTAACTATTAGAATAGGGTTCCTTTAAAGGGGCCCTTTAAGGGTTCTATAGGGGATCTGTGATAGAGTTCTATACTAGGGGCCTTTGTAGTTAGAATAGGGCTTTGGGGCCCATGATACTATAATTATCAAAGGGAACCCCCAAAAAATTAGCATTGGTAATTATTTAGGCCCCTACAGTAGGGTTGGGGTTTAGGGAGCTACTTCAAGGATCATGGGGCTTGTTAAGTTAGGGTAACTAGACTTGCAGTTCTGAAGACTTGCCAACTTACTACTTGCAACAGAAGTCTGAATAATCAGTGGGAAGAATTTTCAAAAGCGCCCTTAAGGCTGTGCTGCGATATACCATTTCTCTAGCTGGTACAGTCCCTTTGATTGAAGGCTCAGACCCAAGCCTTAAGCCAACGGGAAGTTTGAATGTGAAAGTGTCGACGCTAAACTGTTGGTGCAGCGTACTTTGTAGTGTCCTATTCGGATGTTGAGGGTGCTGGTGGTGGAGTTGAGGAATTAGGGCTAAGATGGCTGGGTTTCCGAGCTAAGGTTTTTTGGCTTTGCATTTTGGAGTGCCGAGCTTGGCGCTGTGCGACCGATGGGAAGCACCACTTGAGACACACAAAGTTGCTCTAAGAAGACATTCAACAATGGCAACAATCAAGAATGCCAAAATGAGCACCAGAAGGACGCGACAGACACAGCAAGTGATATGAGGACACTCGAAAGAAGGCAATTTGCAGCGACACCAAGTGGATGTTCAAAGAAGGTTCACTACATGTCACACACGAAGTGATGGACACGATGACACACGAAAGCGAGAACGAGGACTCAGCTGTGTTTGCTTGCGCAGTGATGCCCTGCGTGCGGCAGTCTGGAAATCAACAAGCCAGAGCTCAGCGTTTCAGAGCCATCCTGGACCGGGCTCAGAACAATACGAAGTAGTCCTTCGTCATGCTTTTCTCATGTACTTCCACTTGTATTGCGAGTTTATCTAATTTTAAAAGGAGGTCGTCAACCCGATGTGTAAGCCCGCATGGATCAGGTGACGCCTGCGGCATCTCGTCGCTACGGCCCTGCCGTGGATATCTATGCGCTTGGTCTGGCTGGAAGCCCAGTTTCCAAATGGTTATGGGGTCAGATTGTGTTTTTTGTAGGAAATGCGGGTGTATCATACAGTAATTATGTAGGAACAATGTGAGGGCTTCAGAAGCTTCGATCGGAATAGTTGGCTTCGTTTGGGCACAGGGCCTTGATGGGATTTTGTTCATTACGAACACACAGAGCCCTACCTGCTGGGCTACGAGTCTTAAACCCCAAACCCTCTTTGATGTAGGTGCCTGGATTCCTTCTGCACAATATGGTATAAGCCTTGTATAAAAATGATGCACATATGGTATAAAGCCTGATTTGAATCTTAATTTGTTAAAATTAAAAAGGTACTAGCTACGGTAGCACTTGACAGTAGGGGTTTGGCGGGATGCCGTTTTGCAGCTCTAGAGCCTCCCTGACCACCTGGGGTATCTTGCGAGCAACGGTCCCGTCCCTGCCCCTTATCTTAGGTAACCTTTAACCTTTTGGGGCTCTTATAGTCCTACGATAATTCAAAAGGTTAGCCCCTTTTGGGCTAGGGTACTCAGCCCCTAAGTTATCAAGAGACCTTCTTATTTCCATAGCAAGATGCTTCGTGGAGAAACTATTTGGGATCAGCTGCCAATTCTGCAAATGCCTTCTTGCACTCTGCAACAGCAAATGAGGGAATCTGCTTGAAACAAGCAGAGTCGGCTGTGCGTTTTGGTCGATTCCCAAATCCTTCCGTTAGCCACCTTTAAGCCGACACTGGCTTACCGACCCCTTTGCGAGTATGTTTGGGGTGCAGAGTTTAGTGTTACTGATAGTGGGCTTGTGGTAGAGAGGCAAAAAACGGCTTGGATGTTTTCTTGCAGGCCCAAAGATGTTCTCTAATAGTGTTCATGTTTATGGACGTTCATGGTTGCTGGTTTGAGGCTCACGGTGCCATGAAAGATGCAGCAGCATCCCGGGAACTCCATAGCGAATTTCAGGATATCCGAGGCCGATAGCTTGGCTAAGTACAACCTGCAAACGAATATGCGTCATGAATGAAAGGAGCACAGACTACTCGAGGGAGTGATGCGAAGGACCAGGGGGCGGTTTAGCCGCATCCTAGGCCTGGGCTTTCTACTCCTGGGTGGGTTTTTATCCCAGATGCCTTTCAGGGACATGGTACCACGTACAGCAGTTCCTTGTCCTCAACCCTATGCCGACGATTCCCCCAATTCCGAAATCCTGCCCCTAAAACCCGAAACTCTAAACCCTAAATACGGTTTAGGGCTCAGGGCTCCACAGGCACCCTAATAACCCTAAACCCTAAACCCTAAACCCTAAACCCTAAAACCAAACCCCAAAGCTCCCCAAAGCCTAAGAACCAGGTGGCCTGGGTTGCCTTCACCGGCGGCGTGACGTCGCGAGCCGGGTCTGAGGTGCTTTGCCTTGGACATCTTTTTAGAACAAAACTGCCTAGACTATTCTGCGGGTTCCTTATTATCTAGACTGTTTTGGGGGTTCCTTATTATCTAGACTATTTTGGGGTTTCCTTATTAGTTTGGGGGTTCCTTATTATCTAGACTATTTTGGGGTTCCTTACAATCTAGACTATTTTGGGGGTTCCTTACTATCTGACTATTGTGGCGGGGTTCCTCATTATCTAGACTGTTTTGGGGGTTTCTTATTATCTAGACTATTTTTATTATCTAGACGATTTGGGGGGTTCCTTATAAACTATACTCTTTTTGGGGGTTCCGTATTGTCTATACTATCTTGGGGGTTCCTTATTATCTAGACTATTTTGGGGGTTCCTTATTATCTAGACTATTTTGGGCGGCTCCTTTTGGGGGTTCCTTATTATCTATACTCTTTTGGGCGGTTCGTTATTATCTATACTATTTTGGCTTTCCTTATTATCTAGACTATTTTGGGGGTTCCTTATTATCTATACTCTTGTGGGGGGTTCCTTACTATCTAGACCTTTTTTGGGGCTCCTTATTATCTAGACTATTTTTTTTTTGGGGGGGGTTCCTTATTATCTGTACTATTTTGTGGTTCCTTATTATCTAGACTATTTGGGGTGTTCCTTATTATCTATATTTTTTTTTGGGAGGGGGGGTCCTTATCATCTAGACTATTTTGGGGGCTCCTTATTATCTGTACTATTTTGGGGGGTTCCTTGCTATCTAGACTATTTTGGGTCTTTCCTGATTATCACTGTAGTATATTTTATCCCAAAAGCCTGTTCTAATTATTAAGGACTCTTCGACTGTGGGGTTGGGGTCAGGTTCGGTGCCTTCGGGGTTCCTTCAAGGGTAGTTACGTGCTTTTCAGGGTTGTATAGTAAGGGGTATTTTAGGGTTGGGCTTTAGACTATCAGGGGTGCTGGGGGTTGGGTCTTAGAATGTCTTGGAGCTTCAGAGCTTGGAGTTTCGCCAATCGTTGCTGTTCTTGCTAGAGTCTGTTGGGGTTGTGGCAGCGCTGTTGATGTTGTTGCTCAGGTCGCTTAATCTTCATATCTCGGTGGTGAAGTTGATGCGGTTACTGGCCGGGTGGATGATCTGGCGTGGATGTTGGTGCCGATGATCGCGTTGGTTCGGGACCGGTGCTGGTGCTACTGCTGGTTGGTTTCCTGGCATTTTGGTGTTCGTAGCATCTTCTTCTGTTGATACCTCTAGCTTGCACGATCGTCGCTCGATACAGCGAGACATCGACGTGTCCTTGTCAAACAGGATAGGCAGGGCAAGACGAGACTCCACCACGACCCTGACCCCGATATGTGAACAGTGAAAGGACTGCTTATAGGATCGGAAGGACCAGTAAGATCATGAGCATTAGGATCCAGTAGTACATGTTTCTGAAACTCCCCTAGATGAAGATGGGGGTTCTGCTAGCCTGAATGCTACATCATGCTACATCCTTTCTGTTGTGGAACACAACAGCATGCCACACCCCATATAACCGCCATCTGTGCCGGGACGTTCCTCTCTCGGTGGGTTTTTGAAGGCCTTCCCGCGAGAGGCGCCTTTGCTGAGTTCCTGCCAGAACCAGTCGCTTGGCCTAGCCGAGGAGCGACGGAAGTTAGGGTTTAGGGCTTAGGGCTTCTAATAATAAGCCAGAAAAGGGAGCTATCATGGAGCCTATGGGTAGGGAGAGACGGAAGTTTGCGGCTTAGGGTGGCAGAAAGCTTCTTAAGTTTTTTGAGTTTAGGGCGCAGCGAGTCGGGGTTTGAGGGTTGTAGGGTTTCAGCGGGTTTTAGGCTTAGGCAGTCGACGGTTGAGGGTTGTAGGGTTTCAATGGGTCTTAGGGTTTTTGACTTGTTGGCCTTTTGAGTCGTGGCTTCAGGGTTTCAGAGCTTTCTAATAGCTTTCAGGGCCGTGTGGTGTCAGTCCAGGCTGTTCATGGTTGTAGGTTGATGGGGACTGTTTTGAGGGTTACGGCCCCATTTTTAGATGGGGTGTTGATCCTACAAGCTCTACCGTATGGAAGGCTCTCAAGAGCGGAGAAGGGCTAACTAACAACTAAACGTGTTTAGTCGGGCTTCAGCTTTGCAGGCTTATCAGCAAACCCGGAAAAGCGAATTCACCCCGCAAGCATGATGCCCCATGCCCTAAACTAAACCCTGAACCTGTAACCTTACCCATAGGCTCCATGATAGTTCCTTTGTGTGGTTTATATTTACGATCCTCTCAGGTAATCACAAAAAGGAACTACTATGGAGCCTATGGGTACACCTGAGTGACCGCTGGAGCCATTCCGCGTCCCTGCTGCTTGAGGCGGCTGCCGCCAGAGAGCCACGAGGTCAATACATGCTGTCGAAGATAAGGGCTGATTTGGGGGAAGTTTTAGGGATTTTGTTGGTAGATTGTGTGGGGGGTTTCTTTAGTCATACACTTTTTGATTAAATACCGTCTTGTGTCTTCACACTTTCATCTATTTTTTCGTGGTAGGGCTGCCGGATTGTCTGATCTCAGGTTGCGTAGGTTTTTGTTACCGGCTTAGATTGTTCTTCCAGCCTGGTGGCTGGCTCTCCATCCAGACTCATGACAGTATCGAACGGCATCGAAGAGCCCTCATGTAAAACCGAAACCCCCAAAACCCTCGAGCCCTGAAGCTGAAAGCCCTAAACCCCCCATGGCGTGCCGGGGTGGCTGTGCCATGTCTAGACTACGCACCAAGGCTCGGACCCGAAACCCCAAATCCCAGACCTTGGACCTCAGGCCTTCCTAAACGGGAACCGACAATCCGAGATCCTAAACTTAGCATTAATTAAGCTTAAGGCCTAAACCTGAAAAGGGCCAACCCACAACAGTCCTTGCAAGAGCTTAGCGTACCAACCCGGTGATGTGTTGAGACCTTGGAAAACACTACGACACGAGTGTGCGAAAAACATCTCCAAATGCTCTGCCAAAGCCAGGCCATGCGTGCCTGGCTGGATGAGCGCCGCGAGGCGTCTTGAGTGGATATTCAGGGGTGTCATAGTCAAAAGCTTGGGAAGCTTCAGAAACGCGCTGCATAATAAGGGCGTTGTAATTTGAGGTTGGGGTTCGGGATTGAGAGTGTAGGGGTGCGTTCAGGATTGGGTGTGTTGTTCAGGCTGAGCCTACACCCTAAAGACACTGCATGTCTGCTGCTGCTGCTGCTGCTGCT